TCTCTCTCTCTCTCTGTGTCTGTGCACTCAGCGACTCAGCGACTGTGTGTGGTTCTTGTTTGATTCCTGGCAGCCTTCTGTGGCCCTGCTCTGAACTGAGCCAGCTCTAACCCAGCGGAGACAGTCGCTCTCCTCCCCCGTGGTACAGCCGCTGGCCCCTGACCATCGCCCCCCCCCTCCTCCCCCGAAACATTTGCTCTGTTTGTTTCTCTTTTCTCTCTTGACACCACCACCCCCCAAATCCTCCTCTTCTATTTTACTGTGCTCTTTATCCATTTTTCTGCTGTAGTCTTAAAGGGCAATTGTATTTGCCTCGTTGCCTGTCCCCAGGGCTCCGTCTCTTGAATAACAGGCTTCGCTCCTCTCCTCTCTCCATAGATTATTTTGCTGACCTTCAGGGCCGCTCAGATGACGACCCAGGGCTTTATTGGGAATTCTATGGCAGCGCTGTTTGTGGTGAGTACTGATCAGCACCGTGTGTGTCTGTACCATCTACCTCTTGAGTGATTCATGTCTGTATCTCCCTGCATCGTTCATGATAATATGGGCAATTACTAAAATGTATTCCTGTGTATTTTGTATGTCAGAGTCCAGCGAAGAGGGCGGTGTGTATGACATCCTGGCGGACCCTCCGGGCCCAGAGGATGAGGATGAGGAGGATAAAAAGGAGGTGTTTGAGTTTGAGTTCTCTGACCGACCTCTGCTGCCTTGCTACAACATCCAGGTGTCCCTCTCCCAAGGGTGAGCTTTGATCTCAAGTGCAGACTCACCTTTTTCCAATTTTTTTCCCTCTCTGTTGGCCCTCGTTCCTAAACATTGGTTCATTTTCTTTTTCAGGCCAAGAAACTGGCTGCTGCTGTCCGATGTGCTTCGTCGGCTGCGGATGTCTGCTCGCGGTTTCCGACAGGCCTTCCCCCACATGGAGGTGGTGACGGTGGCAGAGGCGGAGTTTTACCGACAGGCCTCTCTGTCGCAGCTCTTTTCCTGCCCAGAGGAACTGGACGGCTTCCATCCAGACAGCAAGGACCTGTTGGACCTGGTGGAAGACAGCGCTGAGCTGGCCGCTCTTCTGGGGTCCACACTGGAGTGCCTGGACGACCACTGGGACCACCCGGGGGACAAACTGAAGGACAAAATCAAGGCTGTTGGCAAGTTGGGCTCATCCTGACCCCTGACGCCACTGGACCTGGACCTTGATCCATACCGACTGCAGTTTGCTTTAGAACCAACCAGAGGTTATGATGATATGCCTTAGCCTGACCCTTAGTTCCCATGCTCCGGCCCTGCTCTGGACCAGCACTGGTGCACTGTACAGATGAACTGACCTGCTGGCTGACTGGGCTGCTCCCTCCGTTAACTGAGGATCAATGCATTTGTGACTCAATAGACTTAATAATGGTCTTATTTTTATAAATTAATATATGTATAGATAAATAAATAAATAAAAAATATATATATAAATATATATATATATATATATAAATATAAAATATCAAGAGATTTTTGTTCATTTCGGATGTTGCTCATGACTCCTCTTAAAGATTTTATATGGCAACAGAGTGTAGTCGTGTTGTCAGCGATTGGAGGGAGTGTGTGAGCACGCAGCACGTCGTGCCCATGTGTAGTTGTACAGGATAGTACTGAGACTGTGCTATTGAATGTGGTATTTGTGTTTATAGGAAGCACATGATGTCCTTTTTTGTGCTTTTTTTTTTTTTCTCCTCAGACTTTAGCGCTGGCTTGAGCCTCAGGGGCTATTCTATTGTACCTTTTTTTTATGTTCAAATTTTGCTTCCTGTTTAGTGTAATTTAACATGCAAAACTACAAAACTGTTTGTATAATAAAGTTTTAAGATAATGTTGATATTCACCCTTCGGCACAGAGCTTGTGTATATAACAGGGAGGCTACTGCAGTAAAGTAAGTTTTGGTGTGTTCATTTTTGTTTTAACTTTGTAATTAAAATATCTCATAATTTGTATTTATATTTTACAAAAGAAGTTGCTTTAAAATAAATATACAAACTGCAAGAGGAAATGTGTTCTGCGCCTTTTTTGTTGGTGTTGAATTAAATTGGGATGTGAGAAGTTTTGGCTGCCCTGTCATATTGAATCTTGCCTAATTACTGTATGCTCCTCCTGTATGTCACCCAGGTGTGAACTGCTCAATCCTATATTGCCATCTCTTGGAATATTTTTGTATTGTAAGTGTCAAGATATTTATTGCTGCAGCCTTGACTGAGCAGCCGGCCAACTCCCATTTGCTGCCTCTCTATGCTGAAAAGCTTGTGGCTTGCAGCGCCCTCCAGTGTGCAAAAAATGTTATTAGATAGTGGATTTAGAATAGAATAGAATAGAATAGATAATTGCTGCTTTAAGCTGCTGAATATTTAAATGATGACTAAAATTATTATTATTTAGTATGACTGACCAAAGGTAATTTGTTCTATTGTCAGCATTGAGGCTGGACTACCAACAGGGCAAAGTGGGCCCCATTTTCAGTGTGTTTCACTGTTTGTTAATTTCATTAAGTACAAATTGGTTTGGTTAAGTTCTTCTCTTCATCACAATATCAACTGAAATGAAACCCCTGTAAAGGTAATGACTATTACTGGGTCTTTTAGCTGTGAGCTCTAGTAAGTGCCACCAAATGTCCAAAACCCTAAACAAATGGACTCAGCTAACTAACAAGTACTGTGTAATCAAAGTCATATATATTTATTTACCTTTTTTTATTGAACTTTGGGGTTGTCCAAGATCTAGATTATAGCACCGAGTGGCGTGTTTCTTCATTGTGACGATGACCGCGGGAACTGTAGTTTGTTCAGAGTTGCACCTTCAGTTCCTAGCTCTTGGCCTTTAAAAAAAAAAAAGTTTGTCTTATTAGGAATAAATAGGTTTGAGCCTGAGAGCCACAGGAGAGTGGCTGAAATCTGATTGGCCACCCCATAATCCTTATCTCTTCCACTCAGCATTGTCTTTCTGAGGCTGTAACGTAAGGCAATTTTTTTATGGGAAAACTAGTGGGAAATTAGTTTTGTTTTTTTATTTATTTATTATTTAAGACAATAACCACAACCTGATTTGAGTCTAGAACAATTTGGGGCCAGGTAGAATTCCAGTTAGAGGTGTTGTTGATATTTGGGGCTGTAGGCCCCAGATAGAGGGTTACTGGGTGCATTCATGATACACAGAGATGGGGAGGAATGGGACGTTACTGGGGCCCACAACACTGGCCCGTGGGCCCCCAGCAAGTTAATCCGGCGATGGTCTGCACCACATCCTGATTGTCCTTTGAGTGGTCTAGATCTAGACTTCAGTGACTGTAAAGGACTGCTGGAGGAAAAGACTGCAAAATGAGCAGCCGTGTGTCAGCATGATGATCTGGCTGAGCTTCAACAAAAATGATGACCGGAGTAAAGGGGAGCCACAACAGGCAGATAGACTCCAAGCTAAATTCCCAACTGCCCTATCTCTGCAGAGTGGGTGCAAAGAGATCCCTGGCAGGCTGCCAAGAGCCAGGGCAAAATTCAGGAGGGGGGTTTAGTTGATCCACAAGCTGATAATGGAGCTTTAGAGAGGGACATGGCCAATCCAGCCCTCAAGGCCATAAATAAACCCCTGGAGAAATCCTCTGAAGAAAGAGAGAAAGCAGACGAAAGTCATCATCAGGCTCCAGGATGATCTCAAGACTCTTTTATGCTGAAAAGATTACTGAGAATGTGCAACGTGAATGCTTGTTTTATTTAGTAGCAAGGTTCAGAGAGCTTTATGGAGTGAGGTCGGAGATTTAGCTGCTGTCTCCAGGCAGACACGACTTGGCCCCATTTCATATATCCAGGTAAAGGTCATGGAGTGACAAGAGGCTGTCAGACAGCTAATTGAGATGCTGAACAAAAAAGAGTTCAGCCTCGCAGACCTTTGTTTCTCAGCCCAAACACTCAAGTCAGAGTCATATCCTGAGGCTAGAAGGTGCAGGATGGCCACATTCACCCTCTGCAGGATGTAATTTTTGAGATAAAGACATAGTCTTGAACATAAGCCTCTAATAACATACTATTATTGTTTATAAATGGCCATCATCTTGGCTTTAAGTCTCTGAGTTGTACATATTACACAGGATTACACTGCACAGTCTTCATACACTGCACTGTGGTGCACTGTGAAAGGTTTTTTCTCCTAATTGTCAGTAAAATGCACCAGAATGGCAGGAAGTAGACCTAGAAAATGCTGTTTGTGTGCTCCACTTGATTGTTAGTGTGCAGTTCATGAAGAATGTCTGCATTATTGTGCACCAGAAAGCAGTTTGGTGTATGCATTTAAATATTTCTAAAGAGTGACATTAAGTGAAATTTTACCAAACGGCATTACATCAATTAAAAAAATCTAAAATTACTATTTTGCATCATGCCAGTTTCTAAACAAACAAACAATATACCACACTCAGAAAATAGGAAATACATAAAGAGGTAGAGCTTGTTAAACCACTTTATAAATCGGAAACCTTAAGTCTCATTTAGAGCTGCAACTAATGATTATTTTCGTTTATTAATTATTATTTCAATTCATTGTTTATTAGTCCATTAAATATTGGATCTTAAATGCACACGTTTCCCAAAGTGACGTCTTCAGATTACTTTTTCTTTAATTGAACAGTCCAAAGCCCAGATATATTTAGCTTAATCACTTTGACATGAAACACAGATGGGGCTAGGCTGTTTCCTTTTTGCTTAATAAATAACACAATCAATAATTGATGATGACAATTATTGATTCAATTTCAGTAGTTTTCTGTGTTTAATTACATAATCTTGATTGATGTCCCCTCCAATTATATGCCTATAGCGACACATTACAATAAAATGAAATTAGACCATCTGTTAAATATCTATTTATTCGTTATATAGTCTACAAATGCATGTTTGGGTTTGTATTGTTTTTTTATGGAACAATAAATATTACTGGCTTCATACTAAGTTAAAGAGAGAAATAAGAAAGGGTTAGTGTGATGTATAATTCATGGTAGCTGTCAGTACAATGCATAGACATATAAATAATATAATAATAATACAATAATATAATCTTTATAATGTATACGGTACAACGTACCTGTGGGGTTGTGTCAGACATTGTCCCATGGTTCTTTGCGGCATCGTGACGTCAGGTCAGCTGATCTCTGCGTTACAAGGAGAAAGATGTCGCTGACGGACTGTCGAAGGATGGAGGCTGTTTTCTCCGCGGCGTTTCTCCTCTGCTCTCTTGTCTCAACGGGTAAGATACATGCATCGACAGAAAGCCACGGTCAGCACTGTAACGTGACTGTTAACGTGTTAGCGTCGTCTACCCACCCTATGTGCTAATGACAGCCCGCTAACCTGACCTAGCTCGGAACATCGTCAGCGTCGCCGTTTAGCTTGCAGAAAGCACCTTACGCTAGCTGTAATGCCCTTTAACGTGAACGTGAATGTGTGAAATAATGTTGTTATCATTGTAGTATTGTATC